GAACACTGCAGCCTGGATGGGCCAGACCAGGCTGGCTCTGTTCCAGGAGCCAGCCTGGCCCAGGCCATCTCCTCCCAGCACACAGTTCTCCCCTGCGTGACTGAGACCCATGTGGCGCGGCACAGAGGGGACAGGAGGGGCCGGGAAATTCTGTTGAATGTTTCTTCAAAATAATCTGCCATCTGTTTCTGAGTTGTAGTAAGTGCATTTAGGGCCTTCTGATCTCTTTCTAGGCCCTGTGCTGGTACCTTCCCTGGGTCCTAGTTCTACTTGCATAAATTTTTCTATGTTAAAAAAAAATGTTGGTCTTTACACAGAGTTGTGCTCTTCATTAAATGCCTTATAACTGTGAACCTTTCTATATGCATATGTAAAGAACTTTGCATTGCTAAATGCCTCCATGTAGCACTCCTTAGACAAAACGAAGTTAATTAAATGTGCATATATTTCAGTCTGCCCAGTCTTCAGGAAGGAAACACTTTACTTTGGATCTTTGAATATGACAAACTGTGCTGATTTGACTAAATATGTGTTACTAAACTGATTTTAAACTTACTTCAAAATTTCTTTGCCAACCTAAGCAAAATCAATATTAGCTAAACTTAAAATGATTCAGAGACTCCAACAGTTTAGTTTGCATCACTGAAAGTTAAAATCAATCAATTTAAAGATGGATTTTGTAACACATAGCTCCATAAAGAGACAAGTCTCTAAAGCAAGGACACCACTTAAATGAACTGGTTAGTATGACTTTTGGCTGCGGAAATTGCAGTTAATGCAAAGTTCCCTACTCTAAACAAGCTTTTATAAAATGAATAATAATGCATTATTTCTTAATTATTACCTATGTATTCTTAGCAGGAAAAATAATATTATAGGCAGCATCCAAGACTCTTTGTAATCAAGATCTGACATGTACTCTGACACCATAGAGGAGCAAAGGGCAGCCAATAGAGCAGAACCATGAGCAAGACACAGCAAGATGTGCTGTGCTAGAGTATCAGCATGAGCAAGATACTCTAGTGCTGCCTTGTACCCTACAAGGGAAGAAGATTCCATGCAATCAGGGATAGCACAGCAAAGGGGCACTCTGATGTACATGGTCAGAGTTTCAGGTGCAGGTGTTAGATAGCAGACAACCTTCATCACTTTAAAAAAAAAATGAACTGCCATGCAAGTGTGCCAGTCTACCTCCATGGTTGTCCTAACAGTCAGCTAATGTTTAATTATAATTTACTGTTCATTCTTTTGTTACCAAATACATGCCTCTCATTTGCTTTGTTAGATTTTAATTGGACTTGTGCGTTTCTGTCCCTAGTGTGGGTGCCAGTGAGGGGTTATTGGTGCACTAACTTGATGCTGGGCAGGCACTTTTGCACCTCAGACCTTGTCTCAATGGTATAACTTTCCCAAGAAGCAGGACTTAAAAATATGCTTGTCAGGAGGGTGATCTCAGTGTAATCACCAATTCCGTCTTTTACAGGTCACTTTAAGCTGCAATCAGCCAGCACTAGGAAATGAAGCTCTCAGTAAAGCCAAAATAGAGATGTGACTTTAAACACATCCTGCTTTCAGATCATGAACATACACTTCTCCTTCCCTAGAAACCTGTTTTTAATGTAAACTATGAATCAAATCTTTCATAAGACCCTGAAGGGTCTTAACGGGATACAGCAATCTAAGAAGGGAATGCCGGTATAGAAGAAGAAGAGGGTGACATTTCAAAAGTTGTCTAATTTCTTTAGTGTGACATAATGATAGTATTGTCTGGGTGAAACGGGCTTATAACTGTCCTCCAGGAACTGAACCAGCTGGTTTACTACATTCTTACTGTAAGCCTACAATTAAATTGGGTGTATTAGCAAGCAAGACTGGAAGGGAGGAGAAAAGTACAAAGCAAGAATTAGAGCAAGCTGTTCTGTACTGTAATGACTGCCTGTTCTTTTCTTCAGAAGACGGTAAGCAGAGTATCAGTATTAGAAGTATTAGTAGACCCCTGTCAGGTTAAAGGACTTATAATAAAACTAAGTTTTTAAATGCCCTTAACTACATGAATATCACCACTGTCTATTACCATAGTGCCTTTTAATTCCACGTACCAGCAAATTTGTTTCACTTCTCATGATTTTATTTTAATGATACAAAATGGTTAAAAAAAACCCCACTGCAGGCTGCCTATTATTACACTGTCATCATAAGACAGTGTGCGCTACAGAAGAACACTAAAAGGTTGAAAGTTTATATAATGGTGTGAAACTACAAACGTGGGGGGGTTTAGGTTGTAGCCGTGTTGGTCTAAGGATATAGGCAGACAAGGTTCCTTGGGTGAATTTGATATCTTTTATTAGACCAACCCAAATGGTTGGAGAATAGTTAACAAACTACAAACGTGGAATTCCTGTGGAATACCTTAGACTTTTCTTTTGTTAGAGATGTTTTCATCATGGTTCAGATATTTCGTACAGCAGAACAGTGTTGATGCCATCTCACCTTTCAGAATAGAGTTGTTGAAAAGATGAACAGTAATGAAGTAGCTGTTCATTTACTGACTTAACAGACCTCAAAAATTCAAGGAACCAGAAACATTAGCATCTCTTTGAACTCTAGTAAGTCAACTAAACAAAAGCATTTGGAAATGACCTAAATCAAATCTTTCAAAACCAAATACTCTTAACTAGACTGCAACAAATACAAGGCAAAAGTTAGTAATAAAGGAAATATATATTTCTATGATTATATATTTAATTGCATCATAAAATCTAGATGGCAATTAAGTTCCTGATGATGATGTTACAAAGTTCCATGAGAGTGCTTCTAGAACTCCTCTCTGTCCTATTATTATCCTACTTTGAGCATATATTATCTTTATACAACTTGTGTTGTAAACAACACTCATTGAATCACTTGTTAGGTTTTTAAAGATGCTGTAATTTAAACAGAGTATATAGAAAGAAAGCCTGATGTCTCATGACACTTTTTAGTATAGTCTGAAAGATGTGGATGATCACTGATACTATGTAGGTTTTATAAGGTCTATTTATGTCCCTTACTGGACATTTGGTAAATTACTCTTTTTCACATTCCATTGGGTTATTTCCAATCAAATCCAACAGCAATCAAGGATCAAACAAGTGTGGCTATTGTGAGACAGTTATTCATCTTTTTTCAAGCCATTTAAAGAAATTCAGGAATACATGAAATCCACAGTTGCCTTTTAATTCTAGCTGTCAGGAAGACAGCTTTTCACTTCTGAGATTTAAAAAAAAAAAAAAGGCATAAATGATGGGTTGTAACTACATCTTTTTTCTTAACTTGGGTACCTCCAAAAGAATACAGGTATACTGCCAGAAGTGACACTTGGGATTCAACAGATAACACTCTTGTTTCCAACTCCAATTCTAAGGGTGTTTCAGAAACTTATGGCAATGTCAAAATGAACCAGTTTTATGTGCAATGATCATTTACTGGGCCACATCACTTCTCCACATAGTCACCCTGCTTTGCAACACAAGTATTCCAGCGAGTCACAAGTTTCTTGATACCATCCTCAAAGAAGCTTTCTGGTAGCTGTGACAGCCACTCCTGCACTGCATGTTGCACCTCTGCATCACTGGTGAATCTGTGCCCACGAAGAGCCTCTTTCAATGGTCCAAACATATGATAATCACTTGGTGCAAGATCGGGACTATATGGGGGATACGGTAAGATTTCAAAGCCGAGTCCATGCAAAGTCTCGAGAGTCACCTGTGCACTGTGCGGCCTCACATTCTCAAGCTGGAGAATAACACCTTGCTTGAGCTTTCCAGGCCGTTTGATCCGAATAGCTGGCTCTAGGTGGTTTTGGAGAACATGGAAGTAGGTGCTGCTATTGACTGTGACCCCACACTCCATGGAGTGGACAAGGAGTGGCCCCAAGCAATCCCAAAAGAGGATGAGCAAGACCTTGCCAGAGGGTGGCTGAGTATGGATTTTTTTGGGTGGTGGTGATGATGTGCATTTCCACTGCATGCTTTGCCTTTTGCTCTCGGGATCATAATGGTGGACCCAGGTCTCGTCCCCGGTGACAATGCGTGAGAGAAACCCCTCCCCTTCATCTTGTAGATGTTGCAGAAGCTGGGTGCACACTTCCACACGTTGTCGTTTATGCACATCCGTCAGCTGCTTTGGCACCCAGCGGGCACATACTTTCTGATAATTCAGGTGATCGTGCAAAATGGCGTGGATACTGCCAGCACTTACACCAACTTCCGCCACTAGTTCAGGAATGCTCACTCGCTTGCTTGCACGCACAGCCGCGTCGACCTTAGCGATGTTGTCCTCTGTTGTGGCTGTATTGGGGCGCCCTGCCCGGGGTTCATCTACTACGGATGTACGGCCATGCTTGAACTTCTCTACCCACTCGTAGACTTTCCGTTGGGCAAGGCAGTTCTCGCCGTACTGCGCCACAATCCGACGGTGAATTTCGCTGGGCGGCACCCCTTCGGCCCACAGGAACCGGATGACAGAGCGCTGCTCTTCCTTGGTGCACACAGCCAGCTGCGTAGCCATGTTCTTACGCACTCGCCAGCCTCACGTGTGTTCAACGCGAAGCGGGGGGTGCGCTCAGCAACACCCCATCGACGCTCCCCGCTACTGGGGCCTTTCCCATTATGGGGCAGCTGCCCCGCCGCTAGTTTCTGAAGCACCCGGCAGTTGAGAGAAGTGGAAAGCTGGGATGGCTCCGGCCTTTGTTCTGCCCGCCCTGCAGAGCCAATGCTCGGCATGTGCCCCCTGCGTGCCCCAGGGTCGCTGAGACGGACCAGGTCTCTCATGAAGCAGGGCTGGCAGGGGTTGGCGCTGGGCCCAGGCCTGGAGGCTCCGCGGGTGCGACAGCGGGTGTGCCGGGGGGGAGGGGCAGGGCGGGCACCGCGCTACCTCACTCAGGCTCGGCAGGAAGGTGGGGGGGTAGTACCCCTGGAGGACCATAGAGAACAGTCCGCCACGCCCAGAGCGCCTCCACCTCCAGAGCCCCCCCGGAAGCAGAAGCGCTGGGCGAGGAGCGCGTGCGGGCGGGGCGCGCCCTGATTGGCTGCCCCCGCGGCCCGTTCTCGGCTCACGCGGACGGGGCTTCCATTCGGGGAAACATGCCTGTGAGTTGTTTACGGGCGTGGCGCGAGCCCCCGGCGAG